AACCACATCCTCCCATTTGGTTAGCAGGAGCTATGAAGATCACTACAGATACCTTCACAAATCCACATGTGCTGTCAGAGTCCCAGGCACGAGGCACCATCCCAGCATCCTAACTCCTGTCCAGTGAAGCAGAACAATCTCTGTCCTACAAAACTAACTAGCTAAAGCCTCCACCCCCTTCTCAAGTAACAGGCAGCAAGCTTCATATCTAACACAAGGACACCTTAAATCGCTTATGGAAAAGCATTTGCATTTTTGGATGCATCTATGGGACTTCCTCATACACTTTATTTAGCAGAGACATCTGTTACTCAATATATACATTTCATACAAATCCCACCTTCCAAATCCTTTCCATCGGTTGTCACTAATGAAGCTTTGTGTGCAAAACCGAGTGCGTTCTGCCCCCATTAGGAAGCCAATTACAGTAGGAAAAACAGGCAATTAACAAGGTGTAAAATAAACATCCTGCCACCTGCCTTTTAATAGCAACCCTACTTCAAACAAGTCACGGGCTCAGCACAGCTTTCCGAGTTGGCAACTGATATTATATATGTATTTATGCACCAGCTGCTCTTCATTGCAACAAATATTACAGGCTTACCAGATAAGGTCAGCATGTTTAAAAATATATATATAGTAAGTATTAAACTGTTCTTTGAGTCCCCGAATGTTGTTTTTAATGAAATCAGCAGCATCAGGCTTGTCTGGTATTACTGTGAAGCCCAAGTCACATCCCCAGCTTAGAGATGCTTCTCTTCATTCCCTCTTAGCAGCTTCTGTATTTGTTTCAGTAAATCCAGGGCCCTGAGCAGCTTTTAAACACCATACGGGGCAACTAAACAACACAAAGCTCACCAGAGCCTGCAAGGCTTTTCTCCTTCCATCAGCCCTGCCTCTCCTGCTTGGCTCCTCCACCTCCCCACCAGCACTTATAGAGACATCCAACCAAGGCAGTGGCAGAAGGACAAAGGGTGCAGTGGGACACAGAGCCACCTACTCAAAAATCCAGAGGAAAAACCAAGCTGGAGCTTGATTTGTCTTTGCTCCTTGGAGCTGGAAGCTTTAGCGGGAGAGAAGGGAAGTCCTTTCAAAGTCACAGTGGCTCACCCCAGAGGGAGCCACTTTTCTTTGTGCAACAGGATGAATGATAATTCTGGGTAGTGAACCAGGACTAGAGAAAGCTCAACAGTAAATCTGGATGTGATAGATTTGGAGCAGAGAACGTGCTTGAGAAAACACCAGCTAAGCCAAGTTTCACCCTGCCTTTTAAATATCCCCTCTCCCCTTGGCTCTCTGCTGTTCAGTATTTAGCTGTTAAGTTTTCCACGTCACATTTCAGCTCCTGATTAAAGAATACCCGACTTAATCATTCAGGCAAGTTCTTCCTCTTTAGTTCACTGAGATCTGAGCTGCACAACACTGGATGCGATACCAACAACTTCTGCAGTCACACACGCAATGCTGGTCTAGGCAGACATGGAGGGAAAGCTGAACATTCTTTCTCTAAGTGACCTCAGGAAGAGACAGGAAACGCAGCTTTTAACTCCTACAAAGCCAACGGCAGCTACAGATATCCAGAAAGCTGCAAGTTAAGACCAACAGTATAAAAACACTGTCAGTGAAAGTTTCTTCTAAGAAGTCTATGATTTAAGGAATTCCTTGTCCTGGAACACAATTACAGCTGGCAAATCAGACCACTGAAGACTCAAGGCTTCAGTTCTGAGATCATGTATACGTATGCAGATCATGGGTGAAAAGCAGTGGAGGCTCCAGACCAGAGAGAACACACACCTAAACCTGACCAAAAGCAACCCGCAAAACACAACAACAATCTCAGCTACCAGCCAACAGTTTCTCACGATACCAACACAAATGTGGAGATCCCACGACTTCCACCTACAGCCCCAACCACAGCAACAAGGTCAGGAAAGACACGATCTGCCAACATGAGCCGCAGGAAGTCATGCGGCCACTCGAACCATAGGAATATTTTAAGATGAGTTCAGTCACTCAGGGCACTTGGCTGCTTTGATGGGGATTTTTTCTGTTGTTTGCTTTTTATAAACAAGCAGTAATATTTTCCTCTTACATTTTGCGGATGGGAGAAAAGGAAGAAGGATGCACTGCTTAGTCACAAGCTTAGATTTTCAGTACTCACTGCTAGGAGCGCTGCAGAACAATTGTGCTCAGATGCGTTTTACATCTTGGAGCTCACCAAAGAAACAAAGGAAAGCTAATACTGGGCCTCAACCCAACATCGATGGTGGGACTGAACACTAGTGGCTTTCAAAGGTTTTCACATCACAGGAAGAAGGTCTGTACTGCATTAACCAAGAAGCAGGATATATTTGCACCGCCCCACAACAAAGCCTCACATGGCAGAAGCTGTTCCAGAAGCACATCAGAAAGCCAGCCTACACTTCTCCAAGTATTTCAACTCAATCAGTCGTAGGAAGCCTCTTCTTCTACAGTTGAGAAACGCCCCTACGGGCTCCCTGACTACTGAAAGCCCAAAGAAGCAGAGCTCTGAGGATTGCTGCTTGCTCTGAGCAGCGGGAGATCAAGAATGGAATGAGAACTTACAAACACTGTAAGAGACCTGTGCAGGATTTACCAACTGCTGCAATTCCTTTCCTTCTTCAGAAGGAGACCTAAGCCTGCAATTCTTCCAGTTTATATCCCTCTTCAGAAGGATGCTTAGAGTCTTAACTTGACTAAGTACCCAATTGCAACAGCTGGCAGCAGTACCCAGCTCACCTGAAGAAGAAAAAAAAAAAGACTTGAAGGTAGCACAGCAATGATTGAAACTCACTCCTGACAAAGGAGCAGAAACAAGCAACCTAGCTGGGGTGATCTACAGCCCCTAAAACACTGCTTGGGAGTAGTAACAGTCACATGCATACATCTCCCCTGCCCCCAGCAGACTTCTGTGGTTTGGCAAGCGGTCAGGTTGAGCAGAGCATACACAAAGTTGAGCAGAGAATTTCTCAGTGTGCAGTGATCTCGCCAGGTCACAGATCAAAAATATTTTCTACAACCAAACAAGATGCAGCCATAGAAGAGCTATTAGATTACTAAGATCATCACCAATCAATGCAGGATGTCCAGAAAAGGCAAATTCAAACACTGTGAAAACAGCAGAGGAAAGTTTCCTTCAAGAGAGATGCAAAGTTGCTGTGAGAACTGGGTGGGAAAGTTAAAATCCACTTTCGTTTTTAAGAGCTAAACAAGAGCACTTCCTCCAGGCAGCTGTAAGAATCCAACCTACATCAATGATAACCCCTCTTTCTCCTCCCCATCAGCAAACTTCTGTCTCCAAATACAAATGCCTTTCACGGCACAGTTCAACAAGAAAATTGCTTTGGAGCCTTGGTGCTGAAAACACATCAAAGCACGGTCTCCAAATTCTCAACTTCCAAAAAAAAAAAAAAAAAAAAAAAAAAAAAAAGAAATCAAAGGAGAAAAAGAAAAGACAGTTTGGCTCCCACTGGCCTGAAACAACAATAACGATATAACGATAACAATCTGCAGGAGGTTTCTCCACCCTCCAAGCCAAGCCATGTTGCTCTGTGCACAGCTGAGTGTAATTGCACCCGGGGCTGCAAAAATTGCTGTCTTTTCATTAGCAAACATTTGCAAAACCGCCTTCAAACAACCTTGCTGGTTAAAAGGAAACTATTTGCTCTTCTGCAGTTCAAGTTAGGTCTCCGCGGAGGGTCAGTAACCCAGCGGTTCGAAAAAGAGGCAGGAAAGGCGCATTAACATAAGCTGTGCATTAAGACACCATAATTTATACGCCTGACAGTAATGGCTCTGTGCTGCGCGCCGTATCAACTCGCAGACACTCCGGCAGGAAAACGCAGCACTTTGGGTGCATTGCTGCTCTGCCCGAGGACAACCGGCACGCCGTGAGCAATAACGACCGACGGCGCTCTGGGCGATGCTTCAACCCAGGCTCTCCGCAACGGCGGCATGCCTCCCTGAACTTACAAGCATCGCAGCGCACAGCCAGGCACGCATAGCGCTCAGACGAGAGGAACGCACGCAGTTTTAAGACGCATCGCTCGCTGCTACCCAACTTCCCTCGGCAGTAAAGCCGCCTCGGCCACGGCCGCGCTCGGGGAGCGGGGAAAGGCTCCGCTCCCTCGGGCTGCGCCGCGCCCCGAGCGGGAGAGCGCCTCAAGGACGGCGTGCGCCCCGCGGCTCCGCTGCTGTTTGCTTTCGCTGCGCGCGGCTCGCGGAGACCGAAGGACGCTGAACAGAGCAGCGCCGAGCCCCCCAGCCCCGGAGTTCGGGAACTCCCAACAAACCTGCCGCCGCTGCAGGACTGCTAACCCCAGCGGCGTTCCGCAGCCCCTCTTCCTCCAAAGGAGCGCAGACTGCCGCTGCCGCTCCGCGCCTTCCCCCGCCTGAGGGGAGCGAACAAACAGCCCGAAAAGCCGCGAGACGGACCGCGCCTCGCGCTACCGCTCCTCGCTCCGCCAAGAGAAGGGAGCGGGCCACCCCGTCCCGCAACGCTGCCGTCCCCCGCTGGCTGGCGCCGGGCTGCGGCCACCAGTTGCGCTTCCACCCCGCGCAGCTGCGGTACCTCGGGCAGGACGCGAGAAGAAGTGCCGTCACCGCTGCACGAGTCCGGTCGCAGAGCAACAAGTGAGCGCGCGGAAGGAAGGAAGGGAGGGAGGGATGGAAAGGAAGGAGGGAAGGGCACGGCGCCTCTTCGCCTCAGCCCGCCCCGCCGGAGCTGCCGGTGCAGCCGCTCTGCGCTCCGCCGCCCCGGCTGCCGCCACGCGCCGCGCACGCGAAACGCGATCACGAGCCCGCCCCGCTCGCGCACACTCTTGAGCCGCGCGGGGCGCCGTAGGGCGGCCGCTACCATCCGCCGCCCCGCGCGGGGAAAGGGGGAGCGCGAGCGCTCCTCCCCGCCCGCCCCGAGGAGTCCACCCGGCGCGCACCGCCCGTCTCCCCCCACCGCGCGCCGCCGCAATGGGAGCGGCCGGGCGGTGTCGCGGGGTGCGGAGGAGCCGGCGCGTGGGGCTGCGCTCGGCGAGCTGCGGGCCCGGTAAACATGATCATCCCGGTCAGGTGCTTCACGTGCGGCAAAATCGTCGGAAACAAGTGGGAAGCTTATCTCGGCCTCCTGCAGGCGGAGTATACGGAAGGGTGGGTGTTATTTCTGCGCCTTCTGCCGCTTCGGATGAGATTGTGCCGTTCCCGTACGTCCGGAGGCTGCCTGTCGTTCGTCGGTACTTCAGAGAAGCGTCTGCCAGGAGAACGACAGGCTTCTGGAAGTTGTGGATCGGTGTCCATTGAGGACTCGTGATCTCGGTTGACTCACGAAGGGCTCGCTTTGCCATACACCTGTAGGGTGTCGTAGCCAGCTCAGGCCAGGAAGGGCTGGCCAGGATCTTAACAGCAGGGGAAATGACTTCAAGCTATGGTCCTCTTACACCACCTGAATGCTCAGGATTGTAACCAGATCTGCTCTTTTCTCCAGACTGGTCTTCCAAGAGGCGCTTGTGGGAACAAAACTAAATTACTGTAATTAAATGATTGGGCTTACAACTGCGCCATATTTCCAAGTTTTCTCCTATCTGTGAAGAGCAGAAATTTGTTTCCAAAGCCAAAATACTTTTGGATCTCACTTAACCCTGTAGTGCCATGATCTCGTGACTTTGAAAGGGTAGATAACAGCAGGACAAGGAGAAATGGTTTTAAGCTGAGGGAGGGAAGATTTAGGTTGGATGTCAGGAGTGGTGAGGTGCTGGAACAGGCTGCCCAGAGAGGTTGTGGATGCCCCATCCCTGGAGGTGTTCAAGGCCAGGTTGGATGGGGCGCTGGGCAGCCTGGTCTGGTATTAAATGGGGAGGTTGGTGGCCCTGCCTGTGGCAGGGGGTTGGGATTCGTGATCCTTGAGGTCCCTTCCTCAGGATCATGGACCCAGGCCATTCTGTGATTCTGTGAGTGGGCTGGTTCAGAAGACAGAGTGCTTCAGATCTGGTCTGTTATGGTTCCATCTCCGTGTGGGAATTCTCCAGACTTCTGAAAGTTCTGGTAGTTTGGTTGGCTAGATTCCATCTTTAGCAGAAGATCATGTGCATCTGCTGGCCAGAGAACAGGCAAACACCATGCCTGCTGCAGTAAATGGAAGAGAACATTAACAGCACATGCTAAATGTCTTGATTTAAACTGCAAACAAGTTTTTCTTTATGACTAAGCTCAGAGTAATCAGTGTGTTGCTTAGGAACACTTACAAGTGGTTCTGACTCATTTTTTTTCTTTTTTTTTAATGTTGTTCTTGTTCTTATTAATAGAGATGCCCTGGATGCCCTTGGTTTGAAGAGATACTGCTGCCGCAGGATGCTCCTAGCCCACGTGGATCTGATTGAGAAGCTTCTGAATTATGCACCTCTGGAGAAATGAGAGTCTACCACCCCAGCCACCAAGTTCTTTCAAGGAAATAAATGAAGGATGAAGTCCACTTCAGAATTAGAGATTAAAAATGTAAACCCTTCTCTTTTAATTCACAGAGGTTGTTTTTGATTTCTTTTTGTGAACTTTTAGATGCTTCTGCCAGCAAAAATAAATGTGTGTTTTATGAAATATAATCATTTGTATACATAAAATGTTGAACTAGAGGAAGCCTCTGCCTGTAGCCTTCCTGTAGTTGCTGGATCGAGTTAAGCATATGCTTTCATCTCGCCATTTCCTTGCACTGGTTGTTTTGAGGTTAGAAATACCATTAAATTAAAAATACAGTGCTTGATGCTAGGCAGTCAAGGGGGGTTAGAAACAGACCAGAGTTCTGTGTTCCAGCAACAGCACAGGGGATGTTTGTTTGATAAGAATAAGGCATTACTCTTAGTAGCTTGCAGAGCTAGGGAGCTCATTTTTTCACTGCAGCTGAAGTCAGCCTATAGTCTATACTCCGATTTTTAACAAAACACTGACAGTTGTATCACAGAAAACAGTAAATCAGGTGGAGCAGTGCTCTTCACTTAGGTAAAATATGGCTGAGCATTCCCACTGAAGGCAATGGATGTGAGAATTTACGCATGTTACTGTGAACGGGATCAAAGTCTTGCCAAACACCTGCACTGCTTTGTAGCTGGTATGCATGCAAGCTTCCTGCTTGTCAGTCATTTCATTGGCTTCACGTAGGACTATACATGCAGTGTGGAGCTGCCTGGCCCTGTGCTTTCCTAGTGGAAGGGGTCCTGCTGCAAGACAGCCACTGACCCTGCCCTTTTCCTCAGCTTTTTATTGCACTGTCAGCCAAAGGCTGGACCACATCCCGTATTACTGCCTGACATCTAGAAAAAGCATTATTCTCAGTAGTGTCTACACACACATGAGCTTATCTTGCCACAAAGTGCAGGAGGCCACTTTTACATCTGTGCACATTCAGGATTCCATTTAAATGCAGTATCAGCCTGAATGCAAATACAGGACAAATCATAGTTATGCAGCCTTGTAGAAAACCGGCTGAGAGAGATGATAATTCTTTAACTTGCAGCCTGCTGTTGTCTGGGTTCAGTTAAAATCTCAGTGGTCAAATTTAGGTGCTGGGTAAAAGGTGTCTGGATTGTTTTCTTTAGTTTAAGAACTATAAAGAAGCTGGCTCTAAAAACCCGCCTTTCCACTGATGCTATTCAGTGTGCTTACTGGGTCAGACTTCTATGCACAAACCTTAAAAACAGACTGTCTCAAAAAGAACACTTACAGGACAGTTTGCCTTTGGCTATAGCTATTACCCCACCAATCTTTACACTTGAACTTACTTTTCAATTTATTACAATGGGATAGTGGGTAAGTTTTCTCATATTCAGCAGCTCTTCTGCAAAGACACTAAAACCACAAGCTTTAGCCTAATGCAAAGAGAATTTAACAATTGTAGTATTTGTTTCACTTTATTGGATAGCTTTTGTTCGGCGTGACTGCCATGTTATCTAGCAAAATGCACTGACAAAAAAACAACCCACTTCTCTTTCAGGCTGTTTTTTAAAAGGGACTCTATGAAATATAAGATGACCTTTCCCAGCTGAACTCCTGTAGGACTTTTCCACCTTACAGTGGAGCGTTACATGGAGATACGTGTTAACTTGCTCACAGAAAGCTCCAAATGCCAGCATCAACTTACCTGCATTTGTCCACAGAATGGTACTGAGACAGCACAGCAGCTCAGACTGCTGCCTTCAGCTGAGGCAGCCGTGCATCAGTGCCAAAGGATGGGATTAGAGAGCCAACAGTACTTCGTTTCTCGCTCTAAAAACAATTTTCTAATCTAGTTTTCTGCTTCAGAATAACAAGATTCTTCCCAAAGCAGATACCAGCACAAGATTAAGTTACTTGATAAGAAAAGCTGTGGCTCTTAAACGTTATAATGAAGAAGCAGTTTGCAAAAACAAAGCAGGCTTCATTCAGAGTTTCTGAGGAAAAAGCAGCTTGGTTGCTCTTACTACTGTTTCTCAGACAGTAGTGCTGGGATGCCAACAACACCCACTCTGATAGCACTGCACCAACCAGCTTTTACACAAGGAGCAGCAAATAAGAGCAAGTAGCAGGACTAAGTCAGAGCCAGCATTAGTATCACTCCCAGCAGCAAACAACAACCTGTCTGCATCGCTCCTTTTCTAAGTGCAGCATTGGCCAAAAAGCCATTTCTGCAATGTGGCTGAGCAACTGCTTCATCATGTCTGCATTAAAGGTTTTCTCAGGAGTTTTGTCATTGAGTTGGTCGGGAGCAGAAGTAGATTTTTTTTTTAATAATACTCTGTGAATTTTTCATTGGATTTCTATAAATCTCAGCTTTCACCTTTGCTGTTTAGTAACTAAGAAAGTAACTCCCTTTTCACTGTCACTTCTTCCATGCTTGTTTCTGTAGCCGTTAATAACAGAAGTGTATTGCATCTGCTTCCTAACCTGCCACAGCTCTGTGAGAAGAGCCATTAGAAATGCTCACAATGACACTTTTTAAAGCTAATGAAAAAGACACATGCACAGACACAAGAGAAAAAAAAAAATCATCATCTTGGCTTCCTCTGAATCAGTCCAAAAAGGAGACCTTAGCAGAATGAAGAGCAGAAGGAAAACAGAGAGAGAAAGCGTACCAAATGTGCAGCAGCTACTCTGCAGTTGCTTGTTCGTTTTATATATGAAGCATTTCAGAAATTTCTCAACCTGGTTGTGAAAGACTGTTGTAGGGATCACGTTCACTTTGTATTGGCAAAGAAAGAAGCACAGTCAGAAGGGAGGAACCACAACCACTTGGATATCTGCCTCTCTGGGGCACAGGAGAGGCTCAGGCACTTCTACATCACTGTCCTATAAAAATCAAAGTCGTGCCTGATTAGTACATGATATGGGATGAGGTCAAAGCACAGGTCAGTCTCTTCATAGAGTCCAACTCCCTGTTTCTACCCAAAGTCTCAGCACTACGTTATCTGTGTGCTTGGAAAGCTTTGCATTTCTATAAATGGCAGTTTAAAATAAAAAATAAATTAAAAGATAAACTTAATCATCATTATGGGTTAATCCAAAGGAAGGTCAGTACTTCACAACAAGTCTCAAGCTTTCTATTCCAAAAAGAGTGGAGGCCACTGCAGAGGGCCCAAGCCCAGGCGATATACTGAGAGAGGTATGCTGGGTTTTGTCCTTCTCATGCCCTTTCCCCAGTCCCAGTCCTGAACTGGATGCTGAAGCCTGAATTCTCATATATGCTTCTTCTATGTGAATAAAAATAAAAGATCTGAAAATCATCATTACAGTCAGTGCACAGCCCTGTAGCTGTAAGTTTCCATAGAGATGCCTAACTTGCCATGTAGCTGCAAGTCTGTTTTATTGGTAACAAACTATGAGGACCTAAACCACAAGCTTCTTCTTTTCCAGCAAATAGTTCTACAGGAGAAAACAGTCTCCACAGAAAGGGAGAAGGAAACCACCACAGTTTATTTGCTTCCAAAAGAGCAGCCCAATTCTAAGCATTTTCTAACTTCAACACTGAACCTAGTAAGCAACTGGCTCTTGTAGTCAGCCTCTTCTCTGAGCACAATTTGAGCTTTAGTTAGGCAAGATTTTCTTACTCCTGCCACTGCTCTGATGAGACATCTCCAAAATAACACTGCTCCCACCTGGCTCCCACTGCCCAGATGATGAGCACAGTTTTGATTTCCACTTCAACATATTAGCATCATTGCTTACATAGTGGGTTTGTTTTCAGCTTCAGTTCTTATTCAGCTTCGCTCACCAGCAAGAAGGCATTTTTAATTCTTCAACAGGAACAGCACAATGGAGAGATTTGGAAACCAAAGACTAAGGGCATGTTGGCTTTGCCACGCTACATGGTTTGATGTGTTGCCCACTGAAGTCTGTGGGAGCCTTTTCATTAATTTCAATGGGATTTCAAATGGTCTGATAGCATGTGGTGCCTTAGACCACCTAAAGTCCAGGATTAATTTGTTTTGTTATGTTCTGCTAAGGAGAGCTGTTGGAGGTGCCCAAGACTTAGATGCTCAAAGAGCTTCCAGACCGTGCTGCAGACCTCAGCCTCGTGTGCCTCAAGCATATAAGACCATAGAAAAAATACAAAAGTTAACAAGTTATCCTTGGCTTCAGCAACTCTGGCCACCTGGGGAGAGCTGCAGGGCAATTGGTTGTGCTTCAGGCTAGTGCTGGGAAACAGTATGACATTTCCATGGGAGCAGCAAACCCTCATCTATTTCTCCTAACACTCTTCTGTAGAAATATAGCCAAGACATGCAGAGAGCGATGAGTATTCTAGCCTCACTCTTATTTCTACTCCACGTCTTTCAGACTATTGGTGACAAGTTTTGGTGACCTACATCTTGGTTTGACCTACAGGTCACATATAGCTGAGGACACAGAGCCCCTGAGTTTCCCCACATTTTCCTTCCCAGTATAACTGCTCTCCACAGGCTGTATCAAACATCATGTCTTGTAACAGCCAAGTTAGAAAATTCACGCAGAAAAGTCTTTCATTTATCCCTCCCAAATACGAAGCAAGTGTTTTATTAAAAAGGGCTCATAATTTTCTGCTTTCAGGAGCTGAATAAATAGCGATCAAAGAAAGGCATGGAGCAGCTGACTAAAAGCTAAAAGCACAAATACTTTGGGGAATGCAAGAAACTAGCAGTTAACAACAGACTTCAAAACAACAACCCCAGAGGCTGTGGTGAAGACTTTCCATAGGTACTAATGATTTTGAATTAACCCATGTCTCACCGCACAGGTTTGATCTTAGAGATAGGAAGAACAAATGCTCAATACCCACTCCAGAAATCAGACCTTCTCCTTTTAAAAGCACATGTAATTTGGCGCATTCAAAGCAATGAACTGCTTTAAAACACAGAACGAATCCGTGTCTTTGTGGACTGAGGTCAAACAGCAGTACAGCTGTGCTCAGCACCCACCATCTGTAGCTGACCTTTCTCAAACTGCTGCCTCCCTTGGTTGACCACAGTGCTATCCACAAGCTTCAAATTACTTTGGAGATTAAGTGAAATG